AAAGAGCAGAAGCGACAAAACGCGTTCGGTGGGATGCGTCGCGCGGTTTATTATCATTTTATTTGGATATTCCGCGCGCGCGAGATGCGCCGCGTTTATAACCAGCCGCCGCCGCCGGTTCAGAGAGCCACCCTCTCCTTCTCTTTCTCTTTCCCGTATACTCTCGGTGGTTGGCGCGGCGCAGCGCGCCCCGGGTCGTAATCCCCCTTTTCTAGGTCCTTAAACCGGCGCGAGGAGGGCCGAGACCCCGACTGTGCGAGAGCACGGGCGCTCTCTCGCGTGACAGGAACGTTAAAATTTAAGGTTTCCGTCGACACGTCGCGACCCATAAATTTCCGCGCTCGAATCGACGCTGGTTTTTCCTTACCTTCTTATTGCCGCAACCGCCGCCGCCGCCGCCGCTGCCGCCGCTGCCGCCGCTGCCGCCATGTTCCCCGTCGCGATTCGCCTCATCCCTGCTGCCGCCGGCGACAAATTATTCGCGCGTGTTCCATCCGCGCGCGGAACCGTGGAAACGCTTCTTCTTCGTCAAAGTGTGATTTCCGTGACGAAAACAACTTTAAAACTTCGTTCACCGAATTCGCGCGTTCTATTCGCGCGCGAAACTACACTTTTGCGACTGACGAGCGCGCTCGAATTGTCAAACTTTGTAAATGCGCGCCTCCTGGAGGATCAAGAAAGCGACAAAAAGATATTTCACATGGCGCGAATTTATCTCAACGAATGTAACAAATTGGGTCTTGAATTATACCTGACGGATTTGTACGCGCGTCAAAGTAAAATAATTAATCGTGTAACACACGTTGTCAAGAAGTAAATGCTGTTTGTGTGACTTTTGCGTCGTCCGACAAGTTAAAATGTTTCAAGTTGAAAACTTGCATGTATATTCGCGCGTCTACGTTTGCGAAGAAGATTTTTTTTATATATGCGCAGCTTTTAGATAAAAAGTAACGCGTGCGTGTATAGTTGCGCGAATCAAGTTTCATAGGGTAAAACAATCCTTTGCTTGTCAAAGGAAGCGTGTGTATAAAAGAATTCTTTCGAACAAAGAATTTTCTTTCCACCACGGCGTTTTTCCTGAGCAAACTTTGAACGGAGGAGAATTTTCCCCGTCATCGCTTTCGTTTCTAACTAACAACATTGCGACGTAACGTTCGAAAAATGCATCTTCGATGCAAGAAATAGCTATTTGTAAAAAATTTCGAGCAAAATCTTCGAGGTTACTATCGCGAACTACGTCAATGCAATACATATATGTACGTATATATGTATATATAAATATATATATATATATATACTCACAAGCTTATTTTTATTAAAATATATACATGATACGAGGGAAAAGAACTCTGACGCGCGCACAAGTACAAGTACTCCTACTGAGTCGGGCGATTTCAGGTAATCAACTGTAATGTGTGCTGCCATCTAACGGTAGCGCCCCGTACTTCGCACTCTGTCTCTCTGCAGGTAATTTATCAACATAAATAATAATGATAATAATTAAGAGACAGAGAGAAGAGAATAAATGGTTAGTTGAATATATGTAATTAGAACGTTATATATTCTGTGTACACTCTTTTATATAAATTATAAACACTTGAAGAAATAATTTCGGGAAGTCAATTGCTCTTCCGTAAAGAGCAGGTATTATTACAATTATACTCTGTAAGCACCGCACACAAAGGACAATTAAGAATAAACGCATTACGTACTGTCAACGGTTTATTTTGTATTTCTTTCGCTTAAGTTATTGGAATATTAAATAAAACATTTGTTTCTGTTCTTTTTTTTGTTTTTTTTTTTTTTACATAAAACTCTGCGCGAGTAACTTATTCATATAGACTTTGCAGGTAACGAGTACTAAAGATAATTATTATATAAAAGCTCTATTTGTTTCTCGCGTACGTGTTTTTTTTTTTTTTTTTTTTTTCGTTCGCAAGTGGATCGTCATGTTAGAAGCAATAATCATTATCAAGATCAGTTCGATATGATATGTCATCGCCGTAACAGATATAATTACACAGGTGTTCAATTCAAAATCGCATTTTTTTTGCTTTGTCTAACTCATGTGAAACAACGTGAAAACATATATGCAGTCTCATACAATTGTCAATAACGTACACTTATTGCTCTTATTTAGGAATCCAATCGGTTGATTTTTTTTTTTTTTTTTTTTTTTTGGTTTTAAATTAATAATTATGTCAGAGTAACTCGCTTTCTCTTTTTTTTTTTTTTTTTTTTTTTTTGTTTCATCTCGGCCGCAAGTCCGAACGAATCTTTTGGCGCTTCGCGCCAAATTTCGCGACGTTTGCTTTCGACGATAAAATCGAACGTTAATCAGTACAAGTGTATTTGTAATATATGTGATAATATTAGTTTAGATTAAATCACCAGTTATAGTTAGTGATGAATATTTTGCGGTATCAATATCAAATCCAACATTATATGTAAACAATAATTCACAATTTGAAGGTGGAAAATTGTGTTGAACTTTGACTACAGAATCTACAAAAAAAAAAAACAAAAAAAAACAAAAATTAGGCCGACAGAAAATAGTGAAATCACGAGAGGATGTTGTTTCTTGTTGTCTTTTACAAAATTATAGCGTCAGTTGTCGATATATTAGAAATTTTCTTATCATGTTTATAAAAATATCTATTTGAAACTCTACGCCACGTATCCGGTCAGCAAATAAATCAATTAAAACTATTATTGATACAATCGAGATTATGTACACAACATCCCGTTATTATTATGTCAGCTTTAATTTCCTCGAGAAGTAACGCGTTAAATGACCGGATATTTTGTATATCAATTTATATACTGTGACACAGAGCGGTGGTCGTGTCGGCTGTCGAAAATATATGTGTGTGAAAAAAGATTTACAGGGGTTATAAAAATAATGCCTACTCCAGATATATATATATATGTATATGTATGTACATATATATCTGCTTTTGTTTATATGATCTTTTTGTGCCCGCGCTATGCGTTAAACAGTTAGCAAAACACGTGTGTTACTACTAAGCAACAATGTATGTAGCGAGTAGTGTTAATACTGTCATATTACAATATTCCAGACGATTCGTCACGATTTATTACACATGTGTCGTATCATCATCAGTCCAACATATAATTCTCCGTGTAATCTTCTTCATCATTTATTCGATCGTTTCTCCCTGTTCGTTCATAGCACGTGTTAAACGCGGCTATCTGTTTCAACATCCTGTATCTTCATTTAATATTTTTTCTCACATCGCAGAATCGGAATCAAACAGCCGCTATTTAACGTTGCTCGTGTGTTTCTTTTTTTTCTTTTTTTTTTTCGTCGTAACACATGTTGTTTCACGTAGAATTCTCTTTTTCTAATCAGAGTTCTACTAATTTAGTTTGCTCTCATCAACTAACGATAAGCCGTAAACAATCTCTTAATCTAACTCTCTATCATATACACATAGCAAGCCGTACAAATTATTGCACGTGTAACGTCCGTCTCTCTCTCTCTTTCTATATATGACTGGAGATGCCTCTAACGATAGTCCGAGGTTTATATTCTCTACGTTACAATATTATTCAATAACATTTAGTGTGAATAATATGTCTCCTCTTCTTCCGTATTTTACACAGAAATGGAAAAAAAAACTGAAGATCAAGAAATGTTTGATTCGGCTCTTTTCGGTGTTACTCAATTATTATTAGGGGGAAAAAAATTATCACGAGGCTCTACTAAAAACTTATATTATCTGAAATAAAACAAACTTTAAAAATGCCTTTATTGTAATAAAAATAAAATAAACCAACTTTCAATATATATAGGTGCATCTAACAAAAAATTTCATGTTTTACACAACTTCATGTTCAGACCAAAAAAAACAAAAAAAAAAACAAATGATATATCGTGTTCACGTGCGACGTTTCTTGCATCGCAATTAATTAAACGGGGAGATGAAATTCATCTGGGAGACGCGAAATTATATTACGAGTATTGAAATTATTGCTCGGACAATATATTGCATCTGTATAAATGCACTTTAAATCAAGTCATCGACCATAATGCGATTAGAATAGAACTTAGGAAGAAGAAACTAGTTTGTATACTTACGTTGTGTGTGTGTGTGTTGTATGTGTGTGTGTGTTGTATGTGTGTGCACGCAAGTATAAAACTTAGATATTATTACTCAAACAGTTCGGATCGGTGTGTTTTAAAAATTACAAATATTTTGGATATATACAAAAATTATATACAAATTATTTGTTTTTTTTTTTTTTTTATACACACAATATTATTTTTATTATTCTTTACCGTCGTTTATATCTTCGTTAAAGGACCGTGTTTCAACGCAAGAGAAATATATAAATAACATCCCGTGTGTGTTTACATATACATATACATATAATCTCACCTTATCACAAAATATATATATATATTTTTTTTTTTTGAAAGTAGAAGTACGTAACGAAGATACAAACGTTACATGTATATATATATTTATATGCGCGTATGTATACATACATGTATATAATTATATAATTCTCAGTGAGCTGTACACAATATTATTTCTCAGTATTACAAACGTATACAATATTTTACACTGTGATGTACATCTGCATACGGCCCAAAAACAGATATAATACTATAGTTTGTTTTTTTTTGTTTTTTTTTTGTTTTTTTTTACATTCTATTGTATTCACAAAAACTGAGTCTGTATGACGCGTCTACATATTTAAAGAAAATGAAACGTAACTAGTTTTTTGTTTTTTTGTTTTTTTTTATTTTATTTTGGAGAAGGGAGAAATGTATCAAACTTAGTACTTCGGCTTTTGACGGGTTTTTGATTATATGTGATCGGTAAATTTTGCAACATCTATAAGATTGATCTGTTCACAATGCCGTTTGTTTTCTTTTTTTTATTCGAACACACGCTAGTAATATCATACTTATCAAAATTTCGGCTTTACGAGTCAGTTTTTGGAGGGAATGCTTTTTCGTCTCGGAGTGGTTTTTTTTTTTTTTTTTTTAATTATAGTCTGAACTACCACTCTCTAAAAACTTCGCGTGGCAAGATCTCATAAAGGAATGTAATAAAAGTTCTCTTACACCTAGTTATTAAATTGATGATAGTACGATCTATAGAGAAATTCGTAGAAACTGATAGCAAGTGAAATTCATTAATACTGAGTGTGCGTTATCGTTTACTTTCTTCAGCAAGATAACGCGGTTTGATTTGCGATAAACGGGGAACATTTCTAGCTCGAAGTTTTGCGTCTGTTCTTTTTTTTCTTGCACCTATATTATTTATTTTTTCAACTTTCTTCAACATATTGCAAATTCAATTTCAACAACAAAATAAAAGACTGTTTTTTTTTTTTTAGGAAAAAAACTTTCGACAACAAAGATCAAAATATATCGCGCTCATCATAAAATAAAATCAACACATAACATTATTTCGCTTAACGCACTAATGATAATGGACGAAGTAATCTCTGGCTAAGAAGTTAATACTGCGAACTAAGCACGTTACACGTTTGGACCTTATATATATTATCGATAAAGAGATCAAATTAGTAGCAAGTGAGATTCTCGTTTATCGTCGAGAATTTTTTTTTTTTACGAACATTATCTCGACGTTTCTGTAAAGCTGTTACCTTCTTATCGCGTTTTTAATTCACAAAGCGGTACTCTCGATCGGAGATGTCGGGCGGTTTGGTGTACAGCACCTTTCAGGTGTATGGCACAAATCCGGTGTACGTCGGCCGTCTCTCATCTGCGCGAAATCGATCTCCGCGAAGAAATCGCTCTTCATGGTGCCAAGCGCGCTATCGGAGCCAAAACTGTCCTGTCTTGAAACATCGACGTTCTTGTAACACCCGGCGTAGTCTGCCAAACACGTCGTCTTCAAACCGCCGCCGACGTAAATGGACGAAGTCGTCACCGGGTTCTTCGAATTATCGCCCGTTGGTTTGGCTCTGACGCCAGGACAATTACCGTCGTTGCTCGCATTTTGTCTGTTAGCTATGATGAAGTCGTCTGGCTTCGAAATACTGGAATTGGAATAAAAACTGTCCGTTTGGTATACGTTGGAGGTTTGTTTGTTGAAGAAATCATCCTTGCGAAAATCATCCTTCGTAAAGGTGTTGAACGGCGAGTAATCCTTGTATTTGGACGTATGGTCCAACACTGTGAGGCTACCCTGCCTGGACAAAATGCTACCGACGTCGGAGACGTTGCTCTCCTGTCTGGACAGCCTGTCCTTAACATCCGCGTTTTCGACAACGTTCTCTTTGCTCGGTGGGACTTTCGAGTCTACGGATTTTGGCGAAGCGCAATCAATTTTAATAACTTCCTTATTATTAGAAAACGCGTTCTTTGTTGTTTCCTTGGTTGGCGATATCTTCGTTCTTCGCAGATACGATCCGCCAGATGGCTTTGTACCTTCGCCGGATATTTTCTTTGGATCGGAATCGACGCAGTTTGCGCCGTTGTTCCGGTTGTTAATCGCTTTATTTTCCTTTTCCACGGCGCCGATAGATTTCCCGATCTGTCTCAGATACGAGCCGACGGAGCTCGCGGCATCCGGTATCTTGAATTTGCTCTCCGATTTCTTTTGACCGCTCGTGTCGTTGGATTTGTCCGTCGACTTGTGTTTCGAACTGTTGTTGATTTTGTACGATCCTTTATTATCGATTATATATTCCGAAGCGTCGGAAACCGTACACGGACTCGCGTTTCCCACGTACTTCATCTTTTCTACGGCGGGTACTCGGGTTGAATTGTATTCGCTCGCGTCGATCTGCTTCGAGTAGGAATACGTGTTTGGAATGTCGGATGCAGACGTGTCTTTCAATTTGATATTGTTATTCCTAAGATACCGTCCGCTGAAACCGCTGGAATCGGGCGAGATCACAATATCAGGCTTTTCCTTGTCGGATATAAAATCTTTTGATTTGGAATTTTGTCTCGAGTATCGTCCCGAATTGCTCGAGTTACTGTCGTTGCTCTTGCTGTTCTGTCTCGCGTATCTATTACGCGGGCTCACTACCTCAGGCACCTGAAGCGTGTTGCTAGGCTCCGTTTCGCGTTCTAGAGTGCTGTCGTCGCAACCGCTAGACCGTTTCTTTTCTTGATGCACTTGGCCCTCTTTTATGGGTTTCAGTTGCGGGGCCAGAGTTTCCGGAGTCGTGGATTCGCTGCTGCTCGGACTCGGTCCTTTGTAATTCCTGATATCAAAGTCCAAATCCGCTGGCAATTCGGCGCCTACCGACAAGTGCATTGCCAATCCTTCCAACCAGACCTCCATGACCTCGAACGGTGGCCTTTTGTCGGGATTTAGATCACAGCAAAGAAACGCGATCATGTAGAAGGTTTCTGGACAATTGGAGCAAAATTTTTCCTTAAAGACATTTTGATTTAAACCGAAATCTGACGATCTGGGCAGGTAATCAGGATCCGCCTGAACTCGACCTATGATTTCACAAACAACAATGCCGAAACTGAATATATCGACTTTTTCGTCGTACTTGTTGCCTTTCATCATCTCGGGAGCCATCCAATAAGGATTCCCGACAACCGTATATCGTTTTTTTCGCTCTTTCTTCGAGGTTTTAACCTCGCCATCGGAATGTCGATTGTATTTGCGATTGTCTGGCGAGCTGCCGTTCTGAATAATTCTCGCCAGGCCGAAATCGGCGACAACCACGGTCTTATCCTCGCGAACGAGGCAATTATGCGAATTCAAATCGCGATGAATGATGTTCATGGAATGCAAGTAAGCCATGCCGGCAGCGATGTCTTTCGCGAAAGATGTACGCTGTTCCCACGGCAATGGTTCGTTCGTGTCGTGAAGCAGGGCTCTCAATGTGCCACCCGCTATGTATTCGGTAACCAAATGCAGTTTCTTGTCCTTATAAAGAACACCGATAAATCGAAGAACGTTGTTATGGTGTAACGAACGCAATACCGCAACCTGTTGATTTTTCCAAAGAAAAATTTTTGTAATTTTTAACTAAACTAAAATTTCACACAATATTTTTAGGATATATAATTACCTCTTTTAGAAAGTTCTTCTGAGCGTCCTCGTCCACTCTGTATAATTCTTTGAGGACCATTACTTCATTCGTGTCGCGATGCGTGACTTTGAACACTTGTCCAAAGAATCCTTTGCCTAGAAGTTCGCCCTTTACCAGATCGCTCGCTCGGAATATTCTCTGATTCTTTGGCTCTACGCGAAAAGATCTGGTTCGGCTCAGATCGTAAGTAGGATTCGTTGGAGAAGATCTGCGATTAATTTCGACAATTATTAATTGCGACAATTTATTAACTGAATGGTCAAATAAACAAATAAATATGTATATATATTTGCACTTACCCGTCGAGCAATCGCGACATAGAACTGCTGCGTTCCTTGTGCATCGGATCTCGCGTTCTTCGTAGTTGTCGGCTCCGCGCACCGCTGATATAACCTTCGTCCCGACGTTTAAACAGTCGTTCCTTACCTTCGGGACTCGTTCTGGGACTGTTTACGCATGACAACATCGCCGAGGACGGTGACGAGAACGTGGGCCGTCGCGATACCGCATCTGGATCGTGCTCGATAGTCAACTGAAGCGATAAAAATTTATTTTAATTAATCATGATAAAAAAAAAATGAGTCATTAAAGAAAACATTAGTATTTCGAAATATTTCAACTCACTTGTAAAACCGTATCCGAATATTGTATAAGATTTTCGATGTTTTCCACCGGTTGGTCCTTAACGGGAGTGCCATTTATTTCCAAGATTCGGTCGCCAATGTGTAACGATATCAGATCATTGGACATGTTTAATCTGTAACATTTGTTTCACGAGGTGATCACGATATGATATCGGCATCACAGTGGTAACAAAAAACATGCAAACGTTTGCATGCATTATGTGGTTCTCTTCACTGAAATACGGTCATGTAAAGATATAACATATGTATAATTAGGAGGATAACAGGGAGATTATATTCTAAACATTTTTTAATAAAGAAAAATGACAGAAGGAATGGCGCACATTACTGAGAGTTACACAACCGAAATTCTTTTATTAATACGTGTGTGTAGGTTTAGAATGCTAGCTCTTCTATATGTGTTTTCAAACAAAAATACAAGGACTTACCAGGAAGCGTGAAAAGCAAAAGCACATTAAATAACGATAATGTGTTAGATCAATCCACTCAATTTGTAATTAGAGAATCACAAAATAACGCCACCAAAATCTCCATTATGTTCCGCAAGTGATTTATAAATTCACATTTAAAAAAATTATTTAAAATTCTGTGCATAATTATTACACAAATTATTTACAAATACATTTCTTCCAATAACATCAACTGTCACTTCTTGGTAAAACTATTTTGTTAAACATGCACGTGATATACACAAAATAATAAGTTACAACGTAATACAAATGTACTAAAAAATACCGATGTAAATTGCATAAATGTACTTTTCACGTGCGAATAGCAACTGTTACCGCAAAACATAGTTTGTAGAGTTATAGCATAATATGTAATGTGCATATTATTGATTTGTTATGCAATACCTATGATTAGAGAAGTGGCAGCATAGCCTAAATAGAACCTCCATCACAGAGGCCAGCAGCTTACTGATCTTTCCACGAACATTTCTCATTAACCTGCGTTTTAGTTTGAATGTTATTAGAGGTGCTAATATACATATTTAAATACGCGACTCTCTTAAATAATCGTCCGGACTATCATGCACTGTTGTTTTTTTTTTTTTTTGTTGTTTTTGTTTTTTTAATGAAAAACTTCGCCAAAGAAATGTTTTACTTTTATCTACATGTGACATTACAATTCCTACCTAAAGAAATCTCAATTTTTTGTTGAGTCCAAAACATCTGATTCGCAATAATCGTGTTTGTATTTTTTACAAATGATGTATGACGCACTAATATTTATATAAATGAGAAAATTATATCGTGTCATACGTACTCCGAAATACGCAACAACGCGCCGCAACTACGGGGACTGGGAGCTGTGTCCAGCGTGAGTTTGATGCCTCTCTGTTTATCCGGATCTGTCGTACTGGGAGGTATTTCAACCAGCCTGATGCTGTGGGGTTTCCTGGCGAAGGGGTAATTCGCTGTTTTGTTGAGCGGCTGCATCTGCCGCTTGTAACATATTCCGCAGTACAACTTGGAACGTTCAACGAGAGCGTAACTCTCGCCATCCCCGATGAAAGCGCCGCAAGAGGTGCAGGCAAAGCATTCTGGGTGAAATTTGTGATCGCCCGCCAGCATAACCGGGCCTGTGATGATCTGGTTGCAGCCCTGACACGCTTCGCCGTAAGCGGCCCAATAGTCGTCCTTACAAAACAGCAAGCCATCTTTTTCAAAGTACCAAGAAGATAGGCCGACATCACAAACCGAACATCTGAAAAGCACAATTTTCTTGATATGACAATAAGATATAAACAAAATATAAATTTTCTTCCATGACAACAAGATGTAATCAATCATCAAGTCATTCTACTGACAATGTCTTTATTGCAATTACATATGTAACGCTGGTGTCATTACCGAAAACAATCAATATGCCATTCTTGATTTAGTGCCTGTATAAATTCATCCTCGTCGATGGCATTGAGACAACCGGCGCATATCAACGTTCCTCCGCTTTCTCCACCTCCCGGATCTAAAAAAACAAAAAAATCATAAAGTACAATTAAGAAGTGTGCATATTTTTTTTTTTTTTTTTGTACATAAACCACAAGACATGTAAACCAGTTTATTGCCGAGTAAGGGTTTTTTGTCAATCTTATTCTACGTCTTCAAGGACACTGAGAACTTGAAACAAATTATTTTCAAATTATTTTCATTGCGTTTACATAAAAATAATATACTATTATAAGTATCGTCTCGCTCCAAAAGTACATCACGCTCTAAACCCTATTCTTCTTGCAAACAATCATTCTGAATGAAGAAAAAAAAACAGTTTTAGAGATATGTGTCCCGGGAAGGAAATATGAATCACGTTTAACATTAGGCGTAACGTCGAACGAATTATCAAGCAGCTGACAGAGCGCAGACGACAATCGGAGCGCGACGCGAAATCGCTCGGGCGACGCGAAACGTTTTTTTTTTTCACAACGACAAGCAGAGAACTCGCGTCTGTCGCAAATCACAAGGAAGAGACGAACACAACGCAATACAGATATAACTTTGTTAATGCGATAGAGCGTGGGCAACCAGAGAGACACGGAAGGTAGGACGCCCACGCGATGCGCGACGCGTTCGGAGCGTCGACGTGTTTCGTCGACAACGCGTTGCGCGAGCGTTAAACGCGACGATTGCGGGGAGCTTGTTTCATTCACACGAACATCGTTGAGTTTCCCGTCGCGACAGAGTTCCGTCGTTGATTCTCGTCGTCGAAAAGACCTACCGTTTGTCGAAACCTCATCCATCACGACATGTACGATTGACACGCTCCCACCTCTGCACTCCGCAACACTCGGCCACTGTGCGCGGAGAGATTCGTAGATTCGAACTTCGAACGTGGATTCGAAGCGTTATGACAACGACGCGTCGCCACGATGCGTAAAACATTCGAAGCGAGCGGCGCGAGAGCTTGACTCGTATCGCGAACCAGAGAGAAACCTAAGAACGGCCAGGCCTGTAAGAAGAGAATGTGTAATCACTTTTCCGCCCCGTAAACTAGCGCGTGTTTACGTGGGTGGTGCACATTGAAACTACGCAGCGATGTTCACGAGCGACTTGTCGCTATGTCCACAGCGTGCGGTTCTATTCTGTGCTACGTGCACGAGTTTAAATGGTCATCTTCTTCAAGAGCGTATATTCGCGAGCGTGGATTTGATTTCTTTTGGAATTAATAAAATGACCGGTCTCGTCACGAGAAGATGAGAAAGGAAAACAGAAAAGGATAACAAAAAACATTGCAACTTTCCACGCAACATAAATGTGATATACAAGAAAAGATGTGATAGTCAAGAAAAGAATATTATTTTAGCGAGCAGCATCAGAATTCGTGGAGCAGTATTCCCATGTAGGGTATCATCTCCTTTTACATCATCAGTTGCTGCTCTTTGCTTTATAAATTTTATTTTACTAGCACAACACAAGCGCGCGCTACGCGCACGCTATTGTTAATTTTATTTAACGTGTTGTCAGTGAACACAACCTGTCACCGCGATGACAGATAGTATATACGTCTTATAAACCATATAATACACATATGAGAAATGTCAGAAATAACGCATGAAAATCAAACTCAAAAAATAGTGAGAGAGAGAAGTGGAAAAACAAC